AATTAATGGTTTAATTAATTCGCGAATAGATGAACGAATCAGGCGCTGGCCGAATGAATGGATGGATTGACGGGTGAGTAAGCAAGGAATTAATTAATTCAGGATTGGTTCCAGCCGCGCGAGTTTTATTGCTGATAGCCGCTATCAGCATCATCGGCTCCGTCAATCATGGCCACAACCACGAGGACCATACACAACCACTATCCCCATCACCACCATCACCATACACAAGCACTACCACCACCACCATCACCATACACAACCACTATCCCCATACACACCACCATCACCATACACAACCACTACCACCACCATCACCATACACAACGACGAGCCCCCATCACTACCATACACAACCAGTACCACCATCACCACCATCACCATACACAACGACGAGCCCCCATCACCACCATCACCATACACAACCAGTACCCCCATCACCACCATCACCATACACACCACCATCACCATACACACCACCATCACCATACACAACCACTACCCCCATCAATACCACCACCATCACCATACACAATCAGTACCCCCATCAGCACCATCACTACCATACACAACCATTACCCCCATCACCACCACCACCATACACAACCACTACCACCATCACCACCATCACCACCATACACAACCACTACCACCACCATACACAACCACTACCACCACTACCACCATCACCACCATACACAACCACTACCACCATCACCACCATCACCATCATACACAACCAGTACCCCCATCACCACCATCACCATACACAACGACTACCCCCATCACCACCACCATCATACACAACGACTACCCCATCACCACCACCATCACACACAACCACTACCCCCATCACCACCACCATCACCATACACAACCATTACCCCCATCACCACCACCACCATACACAACCAGTACCCCCATCACCACCAACATCATACACAACGACTACCCCCATCACCATCATACACAACCACAATCACCACCACCATCACCATACACAAGCACTACCCCCATCACCACCACCATCAAACACAACCACTAGCCCTATCATAACCACAACCACCACCACGTTCATCACCACCACCAACGTCGCAATGAATATCCCCAACTCGGAAGCGCCGACTTAAATCCCCCCTTCCCTTATTCATCAGCCGCGCTCCATCCACCGCTGGATGAAAAGCCTCATCGAGCATCACGACGATAGCTTCGCATCCCCCCCCCCCTAACTCGACACACGCCCCGACCGCCACGGGGGGAGGGAGGCCGATTCCATCGCTCCGTCTCTCTCCCCGCCGTACCCCACCGATGGCGCGCCGAGCCGAGTCAACGTCGGCTACCCGCTGAGCCGTCCGGCATCAGCCGCTCGTGTGACAGGGCGCCCTGGTGCGTCTCATCCGCTGACACCCAAGGCTCCCACGCGACGTTCCCTTGAACAACCCCTCTAAAACGGTGGCGCATTAGACTCGATGCGCGTCCCTCTCGTCCACGTGCTCCCCCTCCCTCCCTCCCTCCCTTCTCCTATGATCGCCGTTACATCGATTGTATAGATTTCTTTTGGTGATATTCGAAAACGCGTGGTTAGGCCCATGTTTAACTTCAGCTGTTTTTTCTTGCCGCGGTTTGTCCCACCTGATGACGGTTGCTTTGCGTTGCGATCGAAACGTCGTGATATGTTAAGTTTCTACCCTACGTGACTTTACCGAAAGAATCAAAGAGTATGGATTCGTGCAGGCACGAAAGCTTCAAATCAAGATTAAGCCACGTTTGTTTGTTGAAGTACGGAGTTAGCCTGATAGCTTTAATCTAAATTGTCTTATGGCTGTTATTGTTCGACTTGCATCCCATTGGCATTTGTACACACAGCGTTGACGACGATGCTTTTTTTCTGGAAGATTTTTGATGTTTTTTTTCTGGAAGATTTTTGCTGTTTTTTTCCTGGATGTTTCTGTTTGCGAAACGTCACTTGAAGATGTTCTTTGTTCATGATTTCTTTGTTACGGTTGCACCCGAGTCAAGAGCCTCATTGCTCACAGGGCATGTCCCTAATAAATGAAACTGAAACTTAAACTCCGGTGACGACGAACTGAACCGGTCACGGGCCACCCCCACACCCCCCTAGGTGGACTCAGCCTCAAATGGGTGCAAGTGACGTCACTCGGGAGGCAACGGCGAACCGTGGCCTGGTGCAGGCCGACCACCTCCTCGTGCCGTCACAGGCGGGACTCTCGCGAACGGAACTCGCACCAACAGTCTGTTAGGGCTGACGCGAGGGATCTTTGTCTTCGTGGTGATGGTGGTGGTGATGATGGTGGTGATGGGGGTAATGATGGGAGCAAGGGGTTGCCAGCCTTCGGCTGTGGAGCCGCATGCAGTGGCTCTTTGGCTTCGATCTTTGCGTCTTTTTGGCTGACCCCCCCCGCCACCTCCCGCTTGAGAGCAGCTGTTTTTATGTAAAAATAAGCCGTAATTCTTTAACGAAATTTGATGTCAAGATAAATTGATGAAATGTGGCCAGGGAATGGGCGTCAACACGGGATGTCTTCGCGACACACAAAATGCACAAGAGTCAAACTGTGACTGTTAAAGAAGAACTAAGGTGGGGGGCATCAACTAAATTGACGCAGTTTTCTCCATCACCTGTTTTGTTTATTTACGTCAGAATGTGTTGTTGTTGTTGTTGTTGTCATGTTACTGTATTCCCTCTACCGTGTCTGTGCACGTCAACTAGCTCCGCGTGTGATGCGGCTCCCGAACTATTTTTTGGGTCACAGACAACAACAAAATAACAACATTAAAAATAGCGTACTCTCTGGTTCTTTCGGTAAAGTCACGTGGGTAGAAAAATAATAATAAAAGAAAACACGACGTTTCGGTGGCAACACAAGCGGCCGTCTTCAGGTGAGAACAAATATCTGCTGTTGTGGCTTCATATCGGCACAGGAGGGGGGGGGAAGGAGGAGTTTGTCTGGAGGGCCGCTTGTGTTGCGACCGAAACGTCGTGTTTTTTAAAATTATTTTTTCTACCCACGTGACTTTACCGACAGAACCAGAGAGTATGGATTCCTGCAGTCGCGAAAGCTTCAAATCAACAACAACAACGACAACAACAACAACGACTCCTCTTCGTCTCACGTCTCACGCTCTGAAAGTTCGTCGGTCCCTTGCTCCGAGCCGAGCCGCGTGAACTCCGCGAATTTCCTCCTCTCTCGATCATCTCGCTCCGTCTCTCTCTCATCTCCCTACGTCTCTTTTTGTTTTACGATCAGAGGAAACAAGAAGATGCTCGGTGTAGTCGGCACTTTGCTTCGTTCATCATTTAGTTTTTGTTTGTTTGTTTTGCAATGCTTTGCTTTATGTGCCACCCCCCGCTTTTAAATGAAAGATTTCACAAAATATGTCACGCTCTGCTCTCCTCCTTCTTACTCCTTCCCTATATCTCTACCCCCTCTCTCTATCCCCCCCCCCCGTCTCTCTACCCCATCTCTCCCTACTCTATGTCTGTTCCCTTTGTTTTATATGTAAACAAAGATGTCCGTCTCTCTCCGTCTCTCTCCTCGTCTCTATCATCTCTCTCCGTCTCTCTCCTCGTCTCTATCATCTCTCTCCGTCTCTCTCCGTCTCTCTCCGTCTCTCTCCTCGTCTCTCGGCGTAAACGCGGCCCTCTCCGCGCGCCACCGACCGCTTGGGCTTCGGTGGCGCGTTCCACCAAAATACGAGAACGTCACAATTACAGACATTCTCAGCAGAACGCGACATCGGCCCATCGCATTTATTTGTCGAATTATGATTTCACCCCAACTCCACCACGCGCCTGGTCAGCTCGCGTTGTCTCAGCGACGCACCGCTGCGCACCGCCGCTAATTGCCACTAACGGCACGCAAGTGAATGCGTGCAGCTATTCATATTTACGTGCATCCACAGTTGCAATCATCGCGCCTTGTTGTTGCGCGCGCTTTGTCGAGCGGTTTGGCGTGGCAAAAAATGCTCGATCGCACGCTCGGGTCGTCTTGTTTTGTTCGTCGAGTTTTCTTTGCTCCCCTGCTATTCGCCTCGGCGGCGAGGCAGCCTCCGGCAGTGGTGTGGTACACACAAGGCTAAGCGGGACTTGAGCCTGGCGAATGCTCGTACGGGGGGGGGGGGGGGCTGAGCGGGTCATGGTCGGGCGCTGGCGGGATGGTGCCGGGCACTAGAGGCGGGGGGGGGGGTGCTGCCTGCGTTGCCACCAGATGGCAGTCCCGCGTGTTAGCCTCTCGCGAGTACAGTCGTGCGCGCGTGTGCTGTGTGTGTTGGACTTCTTTAGCACCGCACGTAGCCAGCCAGGCAAATCGCAGGCGAGATGGAAGGGGCTACGAAGTCAACGCAGAAGGCCGCTCGCGGCGGCGGCGTCCACTCGCCGAATTTGTCTCGTGGGTGTTGTCTCCGCGCAGAGCCAGCGTATCATTCGTGGAACATTCTCATTAATTCATGGCAAGTCTCAGTCATTCATGGAAATTCTCATTCATCCGTGGAAATTATGATCAATCCGTGGAAATCCATGGCCAACGATGGTATAGGACCCTCCAGGCAGAGTCTTCAGACTCGGCGAGGCCTTATTATTTAAAAGATCTTCATAGCTCATGGGATTCCTCCAGTATAAATACATATTCTGATTCATGATGTTATCGTGTAGCAGCGGTGGTGCAGCCGGTATAGCAAACCCCCCATCCCCCCTCTCCCTCCGGGGGCATTCATGAAGACTTTGATTCCCTTCCCGGCCACGCGGCTAACATCAGTGGCGAGTAATATCCGAAGCGGTCGCTGGTTGGGGTGGCAACCTCACCAAAAAAACACACCTGCAAGTGACCAGCGTGTTGAAGTATGGTCAAACAACCCACACGCGGCCTACGTGAGCAGGGGAGGCCTTATGACCCAGCCAGTGGATTGAGCGAAGGGGGGGGGGGGGGGTATAAATAATTGATTTGTAATAATCAAAAAAAGCGATGCGTTTCCACTCTGGGTGTAGTTTAGCGCGCATTTGCATTTTAATTTTTTTCAACGAGCGGGGTTTTTTTTTCCATAATTCTTATCAATTCCATTTCATCGAATTCTTACACGTGTCTTCACACCACACTTAAGTTAAAACACAACGGTAGGGAACCCCCCCTCCCCTATTATTATAAGTCTAACATGTCGCCCTTATTATTAAATTCATATTATTATCAACATCATCATCATCAGTTATCAACATCATTAAATCATCATCATCACCATCGTAATTTTTTTTACAAACCATGTACAAATTGCGAGCGCGCTAAATGCTCAAAGTCATCAAGGCAATGATTCCTTTTCTCGCAAACAGTGAACAGACGAGTATATACACACACACGCACGCACGCGTGCACGTGTTATAGTCAACTATATCCAAATCCACGTTATAACTCTATATATGATTGCCAAAAGCTTTATTCACGAATCTGTAATCTCATTTTTTTTTACTAATAGATATTTATTTTTCCTCTCTCTCTCGCTCTCTTTCCATATTATTAATTATAATAAGAATAATTATGACAACATCTCACCTGGTGCGGAACCGATGGTGATAAGACCTCAACGGGCACAGCACTGATAACACGGTCCAGACAAGAGTCAAACATCTTTGACGGACAGCTTCAGTCTCGCCTCCCCTCTCTTCCCTCCCGAGCCCGGGGCGTCTTCCAAGACGTCCCTCTGGCGAGCGTGGAAGAGTAGGCCAAGCAATGCCCGCTGTAAGACCTCCACGCTCCCGGAACTTCCCTCGAGCGGAGGACCGCCGTTCTGTCCGGCAGCAGGGGCGCGAGCAAGCACTTGCGGGGCTGCACCTTTAACGTGTTTTGTTTATTTATTAACGCTGACATCGGCCCACGTTGAATATTGACGTGAGCGGGCAACAGTTAGGGATTGTTTGTTGTTGTTGTTGTTCTTGATGATGATGTTGTTGCTGCGGCTGCTGCTGCTGCTGTTGTTGAGCATCCGTAGACGCGTTCGATCGATCGAGGGGGTCACGAAGGGTAGACGGAGCGAGGTGCGACGACGAGGGGGTTTGGCGTTGAGGTTAGAGTCCGGGTCAGGCTCAGACATCGGGGTGAGAAGACCCCGACTAAAAGCGGCGGGAGGCTTGAGTGTTGTTTGGCTGTCCACCATCGGTGCACTTAAGTCTCCTCTCCACACACAAAGTCTTACTCCCCACTCGGCTCGCTCCGTACGAAGGTGAAAGAAGCCGCGGGGGGAGTGGGGGGGGAGGTGATGCTCACGGCTTGTACCCAAAACTTCACGAGAACATTTTTACGTGAAAACCAAAAAAAACGCCTCTTCTACGCATCCCCGGCCCTTCAGTGACGGAGAGACGCGCCGGCCCCAACGTACCGCCACCAACAGCCCCCATCGCCAGCACCACGTGAAGACATCTCTGGCCCAAAAACGAAGTCGCCGCGCGATAATTCACGATGATTAGAATCACCGCCGGCGTCGCCGTCGTCGTCTTGATAACAATCCCATCCCAACGGCCTCATCCCAACCCGCCGAAGCTCAAGCCAGCCGCTGGTCCTGACCGCCCACCACCATCATGCCGCCCGACTCCTGCATGGAGCCCGCCGACTCCCCGCCCGCGTCGGGCGAGTGGGGGTGCGACGGCGACTCGGGGTTGCTCGTCTCGGGGTCGCTCTCGCTGCCCGTCTTGCCGCCGCTGTGCGTCTTGGCGTGCTTGTTCAGGTGGTCGCTGCGCATGAACCTCTTGTTGCACACGGGGCACGCGAAGCGCTTCTCGCCCGTGTGCGTGCGCAGGTGCCGCTGCAGCTCGTCCGAGCGCGTGAAGCGCTTGCCGCAGAACAGCCAGTTGCACACGAAGGGCCGCTCGCCCGTGTGCCAGCGCAGGTGCGCCTTGAGGTGCGACGACTTGCCGTACACCTTGCCGCAGCCCGGGATGTGGCAGTTGTGGAGGCCCTTCCGCCGCAGGCTGGCGCCCGCCGGCCCCAGCCGCTCCGCCTCCTGGCAGTTGGGGCAGTCGCAGGTGGCGCGCCCCGGGAACCGCCGGCTGGAGCCGCGCGGTGTCGGCGCTGGGCCCAGGCCCGGGGCGCCCGCGATGGCGGGGCCGGCCGACAGCGCCCCGCCGCCGCCGCCGCCGCCGCCGCCGCCGCCCCCCGTCGCGGTGGACTCGGCGTAGGTGGGCAGCATGCCGTTCTGCGCCAGCAGGTGCTGGGCGGCCGAGGGCAGCAGGTGGGGCGACGCGCCGCCGAAGGCCGCCGCCGCCGCCGTGTGGCCCAGGCTGGCGGCGTAGTCCGAGTTGTAGCCGCCTAGCTGCGAGTGGAAGGAGGGCTGCAGCGGGGCCTGCAGGCCACCCGCGGCGCCGGCCTGCACGTCGAGCCAGCCCGTGCCGTGCACGTCCCACCACGCGGCGGCGGCGGCCGCGGAGGCGCCGCCGGCCGTCGCGTCGCCGTGGCCTGCGCCCGCCGCCTTGAACCACGACTCGTAGGGGTTGTGGTGGTGGTGGTGGTGGTGAGGAGGGGGCGGCATGCCCACGCGAGAGTACATGCCCTGCAGCCCCTCCACGGACGAGTGCACCTTGGAGACGAAGGCGGAGTGCGTGGGCTCGGGCGACGAGACGCCGCCGCCGCCGTGGTACGCAGAGTAGTCGCCGCCGAACGAGGCCGTGGTGCAAGACGCGGCGCTGAACGCGCTAGAGCCGCCGCTGCTGTTGTTGTTGCTGATGCTACCGAGGCTGTGATGTTGCTGTTGCTGCTGCTGTTGCTGCTGTTGCTGCTGATGTTGCTGCTGCTGCTGTTGCTGCTGCTGTTGCTGATGTTCGCCCGGGCTCCGCGTGGCCGATCCATAGCCGCCTCCGTTGGAGGCGCTGGGCTTCTTCCAGGGGTAGAATCCGCCCTTGCCGCCGAAGTGCGTCTCGCCCAGCGGGGACACGGAGCGCGTGTTGCCGATTTTGTTGCAGGTCGCGGCGAGCATGGCGAGGGGAGCGGACGCGAGGCGAGACTCTTCCTTGAGAGAGAGAGCAGAGAGAGGAGAGAGGAGGAGGAGGGAGCGAAGAGACAGCGGGCACTTTAGAAACCTTCATTCGAGATGCGTAGGATTATTACGAACAAAACAAAAAACAATTCTCCATAGAACCCAACGGAGAGGCCCAAGCGACGAGGCAGGGGGTCGAGTCCACTGCGTGAAAACTTAGCGGGGTCGACATCTTGGGTGGACTGCGAGTCGGTGATACCAAAACAACTCGCGGTACAACCACGACACACGCACGAGAGGGAGACCCGTCGGAGGCCGTCAGACTGCGAGAAGGGCTGCGTGCAGAACGAGAGAGAGCGAGAGAGTGAGCAAGAGAGTGAGCGAGAGAGTGACCGAGAGAGTGACCGAGAGAGTGAGCGAGAGAGTGAGCGAGAGAGTGAGCGAGAGAGTGAGCGAGAGAGTGAGCGAGAGAGTGAGCGAGAGAGTGAGCGAGAGAGTGAGCGAGAGTGAGCCAGAGAGTGAGCGAGAGAGTGAGCGAGAGAGTGAGCGAGCGAGTGAGCGAGAGAGTGACCGAGAGAGTGAGCGAGAGAGTGAGTGAGAGAGTGAGCGAGAGAGTGAGCGAGAGAGTGAGGGTTTACATAAAGCAAAGTTATTATATAAAAAAAAATACGAAATGTTGAACGAAGCAAAGTGCCGAATACACAGAGCATCTTCTTGTTTCCACTGATCGTAAAAAAAAAAAGAGATGTGGTGGAGGGAAGGGAGAGAGAGAGGAATCTTGAAAAGTTCATCCCCCCCCCCCGTACGACCCAAACCACCCCCTCCCCCCCCTAATCTTCGGTGGTTGAGCCTGGTTCAGTCACACAACCCAATATAGGATCGCAGAGCTCGGGCAATAGTCGGCGCCGGTGATGGCTGCTTGCCTCCTCCCGCTCTGTACGTGGGTTTCTGCGTCTGTGAACCGTTCACAGACTCCTCTGTATCTCTCCCTGTCGCTCTGTCTCTCTTGAGTGGTGATGATGCTTCATTTGTAACGCGCGCAGCTCAATCTCTGTGCATTGCTCAAGAAATACCTCTCTCTTGAGAGACGTAGAGGCAGATAGATACGTCATCCATTAAAACAACAAACTAAACAAATTTTTCACTATGAGACATCTCCTTTACCAGTGGCAAAATATAGTAATAGGTTTTTACCCTTTCAACTGGTACAAAAACTGACACCTTTATACAAGGCATCATGTTTGCAATAACCACAACACAAGCAGTCATTAACCACAACACAAGCAGTCAAAATGCTTGTGTTGTGGTTATTGCAAACATGATGCCTTGTATAAAGGTGTCAGGTTTTGTACCAGTTGAAAGGGTAAAAACCTATTACTAAACAATTTTTTCTTTAACTATTTTTTTTTATTTGAAGCTTTCGTGACTGCAAGGATTCATATTCTTAGGTTTTTTCGGTAAAGTCACGTAGGTGAACAATTAAAATTAATAAAAGTAAAATAAATATAAAATAACAGCATGATAGCTGTGCCAAGTAAGAACTTGATACAGCTATCGTGCTGTGACGGTTCCACCTGAAGACGGAAGCTTGTGTTGCCTCCGAAACGTCGTGATTTTTATTTCATATTTATTTTACTTTTATTAATTTTAATTTTTCACCTACGTGACTTTACCGAAAAAACCTAAGAATATTTTTTTTTTATCTTACCAGGTAAGGCCCGCTAAGGTACATAGCTATTTTTCAGAAGCGACCTGGCCACAAACGAAGCGGCTTATCTCACGTGGAAAGTTATACAGCAGCCAAATACTCTAAACGCGTGATGTTGATCCTTAATGTGGAGGGGGGGGGGGGGGGGAAACGGAGGCCCCAGAGAAAAACCCACGGGACCACGGGCGAGAGACAGACACGCAAAACTCCAAATATACAACAGCAGGCGCCAGGGTCGGGATCGAGCCTACGACGTCCTCTGTACCAGGCGAGGTAGTTAACATTTCTCCCACCGCGGCACCCATTGACATAACTGCGTGGATGGACGCGTCGGCTGACTGAGTCTGGATCAGACCGCCGAGTGGTGAATGTCGGCTTGGCCAGAAGGTTCCCTAATGGTATTATCACATCGAGAGATTATTGAATCCGTCTGTGCGGATCGTTCAGCGTGTTATCCTACCCCCTAACTATCGTGCGTGGATTTCACGACAGAACGTATCGATGCGGCGGAACCCTCTTGCAAACGTTGTCTTGAGACTCGAAATAGCGTTCCCCTTGATAATTGTTTTTTTACCCTTCTACCTGGCAACAAACGGTGTCAGTTTTGTTGCCAGATAGAAGGGTAAAAAAACAATTATCATATTTTTTACTAGCAAATGAGGTTCCAATGGTGTTAAATAACTCACATTTACGAAACGTATATTTATACGTAGATCTCTCTACCACCTCTGCACGCGACACACCGACGCGCGCTGTATTTCGACGCGTACTTTTCACATTCACATGCAGCACATGCAACTTTTTATATATATGAAATATAAGTTCATTATAACACCGTGGGACGGTGAGAGATCCTTCGTGAACCATTCATCCAGCAGTGGATTGAGCATGGCTGATGAGTGCGTTCACCCGCACGCGCAGCATTTGACGTGCCGCATGCACTTACGCTGCATCGACGGACATTCAACCGCATAGACCCGCAGTAGTGACGCCGCGGGGGGGGGGGGGGGGGGGCACGCGAGGTGTCATCATCACCTCGACGGATATTCATCGACGCGCCGCGCAAGGGAACGTCGCTGCAGCGTTCGGAAACTTTCGGAGGAGCGGCGGCGCAGCAGTTAGCGCGCTGCGGCCTTCGACTTGCGGTCCCACTGCTAGCGGCGGCGGGCGAGTGATAGTTCAAATAGGCCCTGTGTACCAACATCACGACACATCGTGGGGAAGTATGGCCAAACGACGGCCGCCACTCCCCCCATTCCCGAAGTTAAAGATACACTTAAGATGTACACTTTACACATGCACGCGTTAAACATACACACGTGTCTGTAGAGGGAATATACGAAGTGTGTAAATATATAAATGTGTCGGTAAACCCGCCACCACCCGCCACACAGCCAACTAGTAAGGGTTGTCACGTAAACAGAACGTGGCCAATTCGTCACTAGTACAGCACTAGTGTGTAGTGTATAGTGTAGTGTATAGTAGTGTATAGTGTAGAGTTTAGTGTATAGTAGTGTATAGTGTAGTGTATAGTGGAGTGTATTGTAGTGTAGTGTATAGTAGTGTAGTGTATAGTGTCGTGTATAGTAGTGTATGGTAGTGTAGTGTATAGTAGTGTATAGTGTAGTGTATAGTAGTGTATAGTGTAGAGTTTAGTGTATAGTAGTGTATAGTGTAGTGTATAGTAGTGTATAGTGTAGAGTTTAGTGTATAGTAGTGTATAGTGTAGTGTATAATAGTGTAGTGTATAGTGTACTAGTACAGCACTAACCGGTGTGTTGGAGAGCCAAGCCACAACATTTACAATCTGAGCACGACGTTTCGCCGGTAATCTACGTGACGACCCTTACTCGTTGGCTGTGTCGGGTGGTGGCCGGTTTAACGACACATTTATATATTTACGCGATCTAACCCCAAATAAAAAAACCCTCTCTATTATGTATGTATATGTGTATGTGTGTAAATCGGTGGATGACTGCACCGCAGGATCGCGAGTTCGATGGTGACGGCCGAGAGAAGACTGCACCAGGCGGTGGCTCGCGATCGTGGCCGATGTAAGGATGCACGTGAGAGATGGTCTCACACGGAACGTAGCAGATACAAACGTCTGCATTTCGTATGCATATGCTTCATAGATAGACACGCGCTTCTGTACGAGTCATTTTTTTCCCAGAAGCGACCTGGCTTGCCACACATGATAGCGCGACAGAAAGAGCAATGTACAGCAGCCAAATACTCTAAGACGCGTGACGCTGATTCTAAATGTGGAGGGGGAAAACCGGAGGACCCGGAGAAAAATCCACGCGGCCACGGGGAGAGAAAGAGAGAGAGAGCGACGGGGAGAGAGAGAGAACTCTAAATATACATCAGCTGGCAGGGTCGGGATCGAACCCACGACCTCCTCCATTCCAGGCGAGGTAGTTAACATTTCCTAGCCACTGTGATGCTGAGAGAGACGCAAACTACAAATATACAGCAGTCGTCAGGGTCGGGATCAAACCCACGACCTCCTGTATACCAGGCGAGGTAGTTAACATCTCCTATCCACCGTGATGATGATGATGAGAGAGAGAGAGACGCAAACTCCAAATATACAGCAGTCGTCAGGGTCGGGATCAAACCCACGACCTCCTGTATACCAGACGAGGTAGTTAACATTTCCTAGCCACCGTGATGATGATGAGAGAGAGAGAGACGCAAACTCCAAATATACAGCAGCAGGCGTCAGGGTCGGGATCGAACCCACGACCTCCTGCATACCAGGCGATGTAGTTCACATCTCGCCCCCAATATCAGCTTCGTACACGCAAACTTCTAACAGCTGGGATAACGTCACGCCGACGTGTCTGTGCTGTGCATCGACGTGAAGCTTGTTGTTTCACGCTCCAATATCCCATGTAACTGCCGATATATATTGCATTACTCCTCGTGCTCTATACAACTCCGAACACATACACTCCTAACAACCGCGTCGCGATCTCGTGTGTGCTGTCAGGGCTTGTGCCCGCTAAGCGATATCCGACGTTTCGCAGCGGAAGCAGCAGTCGCTCCGAGCACACGGAGCGATATGTAAATGTCGGGTCGTCAAATAGGCAGGCATTCACTCGGACGGGTGCACACACACACACAGAGCACATAGACACACGTGTAATATAAAATCATACTTACTCAATACGTTTGTATTCACGCACATGGTCGTACACTCTGTATATTGCGAGAAGACGATCTTTAAACCGATGGATATTTATCACAGAGACAGAGACCTACGCTTACAGACCGGGTAGAGCGGTGGTGCAGTGGTTGGCGCACTGCGTCAATGAACCCG